TTTTTTTTAACCAAAATCAAATCAGAAAACTTAAAATCAATAATATGTTTTTTTTACAAGTCATTTATCAAAAAGTTTTACTTTTTGACTAAAGCCATATGAATATTCATTAATTATAGAAAGTTAACATTTTCTGAAGAGATTTTGTTTCAGCTATGAAGTGCCTTTAATCCACATACATACACAAAAATAGGATAGGAAACATGTGTACTATTGTATCAGTGGTAATTTGATAAGTCTTCCTTGTATTTAATCATAAAGAAACAAAATCAAAGCTATAGAGAACAATTAATATGTTTAGAAAACAGTATTATATGAAATATTAAATCAACATTGGCTCATAATGTAGAAATCAAAACCAACTTGTACAGAGATAAGAAAACAGAAACAGTAAACCCAAATTCTCAAAAAGATCCATTATGGAACACAGCATCGATATTGAAACTAAGTGACTGAGGAACGAAGCTGTGGATTGTGAAACTGCCTAGAGTCTGAAAGTTGTAGGTTTTGAATTTTAAATTACTACAACACAAACACAAATGTACATGAAATAAGCTTGTATTATTTACATAGTGTTTCACAGGTCAAAAGTATATTACATTTCTTTTAAACTTAAGTACAAGATAAACAGACACTCGAAAAGAATATGCCGATTTCAAGTAAATCCTAACCATTGATTCAAACGGTCATTAAATCTTGACCACCTGTCATGCCAACTGAGCTCTGACCATGAAGGTTCGTGGTGATTTTCTGGGTAAATCTGTGGCTCTTCATCTCGAATACAAAAATAAGATTGAATGACTCCTCGACACATAGGACAGTTAGTCAGTCTTGGAAAGCACGTCATGCATACGCACGTGTGTCTACAAGGAAGCAAAACTCTAGAAATGGGATTGATCTGGCATACAACACATTCTGCTGGTGTTTGGGTACTGCCACTAACACTGTTTGCATACTGTTGCTGATCTGAACTAGAATCCGTAGGCATGTACAGAGGCTGGATAAAAAAAAAAAGTTTTTTTTTAAACATATGTGACAAATAGCCTAGAAATGTTTTTCTGACATCTTAGTGATGTTTTGAAATACGATTTCACTTATAATGTAAATGTTTGTTATGTATGTCACACAACGTTTCCTGTAAGCTATAATCAAGCTCGACTGCCCAGCATGTACCGTACATCAAAAACAACAGGCTGCTTACAAGTCAGTCAGTTGGTAAAAGTTTCATGCGTAAGACTTAGGCCTACAGTTTGAATAATACCACATCCAAACATAAGGCAGGAGTGCAGGCATCAACAACTGCTCAAACAATTTCTGGACAGAAAAGTAGTTTTAACAGGAGTTTGGAGTCTGCCCAGTACAAAGAAAAAATTAGAAGAACATTGATGTCATGCACTATAAATTAGTTTACATATGTAAAATCCCCCCAACTCTCCCATAGATATCCAAATGTCAATGGAAAAACTACCCTTATCCATCCCTTATTAATGTAGGGAGAGATAACATATCAACCATAGTGCACTTGTAACTTAATAATCCCACTATGCACTTTAAAACTAAATAGAATTATACATGTGATAATCACTACATGGCATGGCATTTGATTCTTACCTTCAAACAACATGTCTGCTCATTAGCCTGCTTCAAATACTGTGCTATAACACTGGTATTTAGGGTACACACCGGATCTTTGATGTGTACAATGGTTACCATAGCTACCTGTGAAAACAACATGCATATTAACAACTACTCATGACCAACTTTATAACTTGCAGCTTTAAATCATCCACAAAAATGTACTCGAATTACTCACTTAAGTTAGTTCTTTTCCAAGTTCATAGATTTAAAGCTGTGAATTACAAACTTCAAAAACTACACAGCTTAGTATTTGTTACAAAATACTTAATGATTGTTAATAACTTACTTAATATTTGTTATAAAATACTTAACAAATGTTAATAACTTACTTAATATTTGTTACAAAATACTTAACAAATGTTAATAACTTACTTAATACTTGTTACAAAATACTTAACAAATGTTAATAACTTACTTAATATTTGTTATGGAATACTTAACAAATGTTAATAACTTACTTAATATTTGTTACGGAATACTTAACGAATGTTAATAACTTACTTAATATTTGTTATGGAATACTTAACAAATGTTAATAACTTACTTAATATTTGTTACAAAATACTTAACAAATGTTAATAACTCACTTAATATTTGTTACGGAATACTTAACGAATGTTAATAACTTACTTAATATTTGTTACGGAATACTTAACAGATGTTAATAACTTACTTAATATTTGTTACGGAATACTTAACAAATGTTAATTTACTCATACTTTTGCTGCTTGGCAAAAACAAAATTGGGAGAATAAAGTATGAAGTATGTCAGAAATTAAAAACCCAGTAAAACTAAATTTTTATTTGCTTTGCAAATATGTTCCCCTCAGATGATACTAACTTCTTCTGAAGAGACTGTAGGTTTTTGTTTTACTAAAACAGCAAATATAATAGACAGTGAGTAGCAGAGTGCAAGACTGGCATAATGTTTTAGAGTTTTAGAGTTCTGAAAAAATATGTTCCACTATTTTCAAATGATTTTACCACACTGTTCTGTTGATCCTCTTCTTCGAGCAGCAGATCTTTCCTCATCATCAGTACTACTAAAGGAAACCGTGTTCGAGGTAAGGTTCCTAAATCGGCCGCCATAATGGCCCGGGTTGGGACAATTTTAAGCACCTCATTCTCACAGATGTCTAATCTGAATTTAGTGTAAAGATTCAATAAGGACGAATTTTATTATGTAAATTATTATATGATTCTTTCAAAAAATTAAATATTTTAATTGAGTTAAGATACCTATATATCAGCTTCAACGACTATACCACTTTCTTCATCAACGGGTACAGGTGCAAGATTATGCCTACATATAAAACTAAACAGCTTAGACAACAATTATTATAAAGTATCAAGAGACACAAGAATCTGTCATTGTATATAAATATTTATACACATATATATGTGTGATATATTTTAATGTTAAGTGCAGTCAGAACTGTACAATAACTTTCAAACCACCTTTTATACTGAATGTTCAGATTTCTCTATTGTTTCACTAACGCTAATTTCAAGGCTATGTTTACTGCTAGAGCAAAATTATCAAAGAACTAATTAATCTAAACCACTTAAAACAAAATATTTGTAATATGGCATATAAAAAACAAGTTTGAACTGGAATCTTACTGACAGGGTTTTTTTTTTTTGGTAATAACACATAAATTTTTTTAGCATCCTTAAAATAGTAGTTGAGAATTTTTTAATATGATTTGACTGCTATTTTAAGCAAATAGAAAAAAAGTACTAACTTGTTTCTATAATTTACATTCAAACCTTGCAGAAAATTTAATTTCAGAATAAAAAAGGATACTCTATCATTTGGTTTTTACCCAAACATCTGAATTCTTGAAGATTGTTTCCCAAAAGTGCTTCCTTCAACTGTAGCCATGACGTACAAAGCATTTTATCAAGTTCTTCCATGCTAACACCCCAAAATACTTGCATTAAACAGGGTGTTTGACATGTGATAGAACAATCTATACCTGAAAAACATGCAAATAAAACAAGACCTGATATCTTATGTTTCTACATTGTGTTAGTTCTAATGACTTGTTTTAACTTTGATATTGTTGGTTTGTAAAGGTCAAATTTCTGAAGTTATAGTACAGATTGTGTGTGGTGTGGAGCCTTCATTCTTCCAACGAGGTTAAGAAGTCATTCAGACTTAACTTACAGGCTAGTAAATCAATATTTTTAAGTAATAAATGTATTGAATGAAGCAGAGAGAACCGAATATTTAAGCAGGGAACAGAGTGCATGGCATGATAATTTTCAAGTTTTCATGTTTGAAAACAATACTTTGTCAAGAAATTGAAAATACAGTATCATATAATAAAGTGAAAAAAAACAGAAATGCAAACCAAACCTTTCAACATGCATCAAAACTACAAAAAACACAAACCTCTTTGATCTTTACAACATAACAGAGCACTAGGATGAGCTGTTGGTCTGAAATTCAAGTCCTGGTCAGGGCAGATTTTCCTAATATCCTGATATCTTATAGACTAAAAATGCTTTAGTATGATACCCAGGCACGTACACAGGGGTGGATGGGTTCAGCTGATCCCCCTACTTTTGTGATGTAAAAAAATTTTGCTTATATAGTTATAGTGCAGCTGTTTATAGTATTTAACATTTTCTACATTCTTCTGATGAAGCATTAGCATTTTTTGGCTTGAAATAGTTGCATGACTCCCACATCATTAGCATGCTGGTTGATCTCACAAATTAGAACCCCCCCCTTCAAACATTCAGCATATGAGTCTGATAACATCCACAGAACGTACCAATTTACAAAACCATAGAGGAGAGAAAACCCATGACTAGTGATCAAAGGAAGAAAACAGTTAATTTTAGTGATCAAAAAGGATTGAAGCTTCACAACTTGGGGTAGACAACTGTAAAAATAAAGCAAGACACGCTGAGAAGAAAAAAAAAGTAATACTATGATGCTGAACAGCCAAAGATTTATCATAACAGGAAACCTCTTGAAGAATGAAGGAGAGAGTTAGTGGCTTATTTTAGATAATTTACTGGAGATAATTAAACACATGGAAGCTGCTTCTTGTTCATTATTTCAAACAAGGGATTAAGAAGTAATCAAGGATTGAAGTGGAACATTAACAGCTATGAGTGATTACTTCTAAATCCAGACATATTTTTTACTGGAAACAATTTCATTCCTTATAATACAGTCTTTTATATGTTTTACTAATATAAATAAATAATCTAGATGTCATGTGCATGAGACAAAAGTTGACAATGGGCATTCAGTATAAATACACACATTTGTGTTGGCAGTGCTTAAGGTGAAGCCTGTCTACATTTTTCATAAGTGTTCTTCCATATGCTAGATAACATGAGGAGGTGAAGCCTCTGCTGAAATTATTCTGATTACTAAGTTCATGTTTGTCATTTTTTAATAACCTTGACATTTTCAAATATTTAGCATTTTGTTAAAACATCGAGCTGGACTTGCCCAGTCTCACACGATAATTGCTCATATTAAGGTGAAGCCTGTCTACATTTTTCATAAGTGTTCTTCCATGTGCTAGATAACATGGGGAATAAGTGTTCTTCCATGTGCTAGATAACATGGGGTTGTCTACATTTTTCTATATTTCCTGGTTCAATGCTCATAATAAATATTTCTTAAATGTACAACTGTATTTGAATCTTTGTAGAATGGACGGCAACTGCCTGTCGTAGAGACGCAAGTGTAGAGGACGACGTTTCGCCTTTCGTCTTCAGGACCTTGTGTTTCTACAACAGGCAGCTGCCGTCCATTCTACAAAGTTTCATCATGAATACTCTCTCTAAACAATCTATCAAAGAATACAACTGTATTTGTTTCCTTAATTCTGTAATTGTGTAATTTCACCAATTAGTGATGATTTCAAATATTAATTATATTTTTGTAGATAAAAACTGAAAATAATACAAGAAAGTTGTCAGAATTAACCCAATATTATGCTTCAATTATCTCACCAGAAAGGGAGCTGTCCATGACATTAATAATCTTCAACGTGAATGGATTTTGTACAAGAATCATCGGCTGCAACATTTGTGTTGGCGGTTCATGCACCACAGTCACCGAAGTAAAAGGACCATTTAAGTTCCTGAAACTAAAAAGAAAAAAAAAAGTTTTGTCTCAATATAGACTCGCATTCATTTCTTGCAGTCACATCTATTAGAACTTCTGACTTCGGTTGAAAAAACTTCTCATACATAAATATATTTGATAACTTTACTTTGTTTTTTCTACATAATAACTACACATGCACTCAAAGGGGGTTCTAACAAACACCCTATTTTTGTGATGTTAAAAAATTATGCTTATATATATTTATAACACAGCTGCTTATGGTATTTTACACATTCTGTATTCTTCTGATGAAGCATTAGCATTTTTGTGCTTGAAATAGTAGCATGTCTCCAGACCCACATAGCATAAGCATGCTGGTTGTGCTTCTCACAAATTAGACCCCCCTACCCTTTCAAACATTCTGCATACAAGCCTTAAAACAAAAAAGAATTATTTGGTCCTTCAAGGCTACCCTTAAATACCTGTCTTTAAGAAAAGTAAAGATTTAAACCCAACCTTTATTTTTTAGAAAGTCATCTATTTCCTTCTTAAACTGTCATAAGGTACTAGCCCCCACTACTGCTAACAACAAGTCATTCTAACTAGAGCCTAGCCTGTCTTTTCTAAACCTTGGATCCTTGTGTTCTTTCATTCTACTATCACAAAGAAATATAAAGCTTTTATCCTCTTAATCTTCAAGAGAAAACAAGCTGAAATATCTCTGGACTCATCTTAGTAGTCTCCTAAAAACCATTTCCAATTAGTCAATATTAGGCCAAAATTATACACAGTATTGTATGTGAGGCCTAACTAGTGATTTGTTTATAGAGATAATTATCTATTTTTGACTTATAATCAATAGGCCAATAGATACATCCTAAAAGTCTATTACAGCAGCTTTACTACAAACAACATAGCACTGCCTCGATAGCTTGAGTAATATACCCACCACTATGCCAAGGTACTTTTCTTCAATCTTGATACTGAGTAGGTTCAAATTAATATTATATGTGTGATCCAGGTTTAACAACCCAAAAGTATTACCTTGCATCTATTATAACTAAAGCTAAAAAAAAAGTCCGTTGACAAGTTATTTATCCAACTTGCCAATTAATTCTGTAATAGTAATACCTCAACATCATCAATACTGCTAGAAATACCAAAGAATTTAATGTCATCAACAAATTTAACTAATTATGCTCCTATCAATATATCATTACTATAAATAAGGAACAGCAAAGAACCTAGCTCAAAGTCCTGAGTTACTCCATTTGTAACAATGGTATAGTTCAACTGGGCTCCACCAATAACAGACTATTGGTTTCTCCCATCCAACCACCAACCTTAAATCCAATTAAATGTTTTTTTCTCCAACCCCTTACCAATGTGTTTTTATTGCACCTTGTAAAAGGCTTTTTTTTTTCCGTCATCAAGTTAACAAGCAACATCCCATGGGAAAAAGGTCAGTCACTAACAGAATAGTATAAGTAAGGCAATGTTGTCCTTTGGTGAATCTATGTTAACTCTCATTTATGATACGTTAGTGTTAACTGATATCAAAGCTTCTTCCCAATTCAGAAGACTTATAATTTCTTAATATCGATAGATATATAAGTTATAAGCCCAATAATCACTAGGCCTGCTGTTAAATTATCATCTTTTAAGTTCTCTTTAAAGAAAATACATGTCTATACTACAGTATACATAATTACTACAGCTATACGAAACAGTCTGATAGAAAATATGATTGCGAGAAAAACATCTTGCTGAACCAGTGAACACAGTTATAGTTATACTAACATAATACCGAATATTAATAAAGTACGGCCTATAATTTAGTACACAGTATTCAATTAACATATTAAGTACCTTTTCACACGCAATCGCTAGTCTTACTTAGCCTAGATCACTCAGGAGTAGACACTAAGACAAGTAAACTTTAAACTTTAACAAGTCACGCAAAATACAAATTATAATTTCTGGTTTATAGTTAAGCCTTACTAGTATTAGTAATTAACAATTAGACTTAATAGTTTATAGCTTACACAATCGGGAAGACTTATTAAGGCTTTAATTTTTATTGAGCTTAGTAGCTACTTTGGTACTTTTAAGTTGAATTTAATTGTCATGTATTACGTGTACTTCTTCAACACGTTTATTTAATTAAAACAAACATTATACAAAAAAAGTGAGAAACCTCTGATTAAGCAACGACTGAATAGTTTTTACCGTAGAAGAAAAGTCATCATCGTAAAAAAAGAAATTAAAACAACAAAAATGGCTATAACGTTAGAAGCTCCTGCTAACGCTGCTAACGTAGCCATTGTTAAGCTTTTATATCACGTGACAAAACACTAGTTGTAATTGGATAAAATGAGCGCCTTTTTGCGAGTGACAAAGTTTAAACCAGTGGCGAGTTGTTTTCTATGCTGAGGATGGTGGTAGTGAGTTACTTGCTACAGTAGAACAAGAAAATTCTAACTTATAATAATATAGAATTAACATGTAAGATATTAATCCGCAAAGGTACGTATTTTAATAGTATTTACTTTCGTATATAATATAGTGTAGAACTGACTACAACTAGTAGTACTAAATACTAGGCTACTTTAGCGTATTTTTTACTAATACTACTAGTAGTAGGTAATTTCTGCTCAGACTACCCTCATATAGTAACACTAACAGTAATATTAATTTATTAACACTTAAGAGTGGTAATATTTCTAACGTTAATAATCGTAGGACGCACAAATATAAATTTTGGCAAGGTAGGACCCATCTACAGTTAAGACAGTTTTATTTTTCTAACACCAACAAATCGTTTATTTTGTGAGGTAAAATAAAACCTTCAGAGGCTCCTTAAAATGCAACTGGTCCAATATAGACTCATTCTTAGATGAAATTACATGCATTTATTTTAAGAGTAGTTGTAGAACTAGAATATAAAAATTGGTTGTGGTGATAACTTGATTTCATTCATTTTGTGGAACATTTAAGATCAGTTTATGTTTCATGTAACTTTTAACAAATAAATTCAATAGTAGAATGTTCAAAAATTGTTTGATTACACCTTTTTTCTTCTCTTATTTATACATATATAACCTTATTTTACAAACCACGAGTTGGTTGTGTTATATACAAATAATTGTGGGCTGTTTTCAAGATACTAAAGTAAAATTATTTTTGGTTCTTTTAGAGTAAAATTGCAGTTAAGTGTAGCATTTTTATCAGTTTATATTTGTGTCATTCTATTTATGCAGATTACTAGCACAAGGGAAGGACAAAACAGAATGACTTCCAATTCCAATAAAAAGCAAAAAATTGCTCACTGCATTCCAAAAAGAGGTTAGAGGTTTGTCATTATTTTATTATATTTATATATATATATTCTAAAGGGCCAGCAGTTTACCCTGTTACAATTTAAATCTTATTAATAAAAGACAAAAATTATTTTTTGAAATAATTTATTTCTTAGTTTTTTAATGTTAGTTTAATAGGTAACTGAATTTTCTTAGCAAGTTTTTGCCATAGTTGTTCTTAATTACAAAAGAACATTAATATGAAGTGGATAAACCCTGGTATAATTATTTCCCAGAAAGGGAGCTAAAGGCGGCCTGGAGGAGTCACCTGCTTTAACCACTCGTACCACTATATAGTATTGTGTTGTCTGTCAGTCAGTCAGTAGACAATAAAATGATGTAACATGAGGGAACTTAATGTTGCAATTTATACTGTTGTGATGTCAGTAAACCATGCACATGTCATGAATGACGTGAAGAATTATGCATTTTGTAGGCTACAACACAGCATGACTTATGAACTACAAAAGCAAGGAATACAAATATTTGTTACTCTTAATTTTGGTTTTATTTACTTTTGAAACAGAACACTTTCAGGGACACTGTAGAAGTATATCTAATTTAGAGTATGGTAACATTATACATTGGAAACAAAAATGTAGGCTTAAAGTGGATGAATACACTGTAGTGACATAATGTCTTCTCTTAATATAGTAATAATAATGTACTTTAGTTATATTTTAAAGAGATAAGACAAGCCGATTCCTTATCGTATATTTTGTAGATTTTATACAGAGGGTTGAGTATGTTCTACTAAAATATTTTTGAATTTGCAAGTCACATGACAACTACAGCCAACAGAAAATTGTGGTGGAATGTATCAGAACTAAATTTTGAAATTGTTTAACATTTGGTAGGTATTATGATGCCACCAAAAATTGATCACTTTTGGGAAAGGTTTGTACTTAATGACACTAGAAACAAAGGAATATGTATCAAATTGGAACACCAGAACCATCCAGAAAAAGAGCTGCAACAAGTTGTACCCCTACTGTAGTAAGCAATGTGCAGTGTCTTGTAACAGACAAGAATACACAAACACAAAGTTCAGTGCCAAAACCATCCTTATGTGACAGGCAAGAATACACAAAGTTCAGTGCCAAAACCAACCTTATGTAACAGGTAACAGTATGCAACATATTGAAAAGGATCTCCAAGTGGAAAAGTAACACAAATCATTTATGCACATTGCTTCCACAGTATATCAATTCAATAGTCACGTGTATACAGGCAGCTGGAGACTGAAAATGTTTTTTATGCTATTCCAAGATGAAGACAAAGCAGTTAAATCCCCATATGCGTCATCTATGAATATCTGTGTGATCGTACTATTGAAATGGGTATTGAAAGACTGTCATTCTCATATGCTAAATTGCGTATGGAAAGTAAGCAGGGAGGAGTAATGTGCTTTAGACATTACAACCTTAAGGTGGAGCCTTTTTCAATGGAAACTACAGTGCAGAGCTATTTTCAGGATAAAGAGTGAACAGTTGTAACAATGTGTTGAAACTACAAAATTGTTTTAATATAACATTTTCAACTTCTGTATTGCAAATCTTTCCCGAGACCTAAAAACTAATGCACTTGGTTACCACTAAAATATAAATAATTTTGTTGATAATTTTATTGAAATTATCAAAAACAAAAAAATGATTTCACCTTGATGTTACTGTTCCTTGCATGAGGAGAACATAGAGGGAGGGGGATCAGATTTTAGTTTCCAGGCAGTAAACATTTTACTCTGGTTTTAAGGTGTGAAAGACAGACATTCTTCAGCTTTATACATACATAGATAACCTGTTTACATGTAGTGTACAGTTAACTTTAGTTTCCAAGTGTGACAGAAAGATACAATACAACTTTTTATATACATAGATAACCTGCTTACATGTAGTGTACAGTTGACTTTAGTTTCCAAGTGTGACAGGAAGATACAATACAACTTTTTATATACATAGATAACCTGCTTACATGTAGTGTACAGTTGACTTTAGTTTCCAAGTGTGACAGAAAGATACAATACAACTTTTTATATACATAGATAACCTGTTTACATGTAGTGTACAGTTGACTTTAGTTTCCAAGTGTGACAGAAAGATACAATACAACTTTTTATATACATAGATAACCTGTTTACATGTAGTGTACAGTTGACTTTAGTTTCCACGAGTACTTTGCTCTCTAAAACACAAAATGATGCATTGTGTTTTAAAGAAACAGATGAAAGAAATGTAGTTTATCAATGTAGTAGGTTTATTTAAAAATATGTTTATTTGTTGTTGTTGTTTTTTATTTTGGTTGATGTCGGCACCTTTAATGAGAAGGTAGGAAATCTTTTTCACATAGTTGAATTTTCTACACGAGTCTAAATGAAAACCAAAATAATAATCAACACTAAGCATCTAAGTAAAATAATGGACAATGGTGATATTTACATATGATTTTTCTTGCACAGCTGTTTGCATTCTTTGTGAAACCAACTATGAAGAAGAGTTGATGGTTGGAAAGTTCTTTCATCATGATGAATTCTCAATACATCATTTCTGTATGGTAAGATGATATCGTGCAATCGAAGAACGTATTAGAATACTAACAAATTTATTTCTATTTTCTTTATAAGTTAGATTTGTATATCGCCTTAAGTTGTTGTTTTTTCCGTAAGTTATATAATAATTTTACTCTCTCTCTCTCTTTCTTCTTCTTTTATATATATATATATATTTATTTATTTATTATTATTGAGACTAAAAGTGTTTTGAAATGATTTTACCCTAAATTAAAACAAACATCATTTTTCTAAGTTTAAAATGAATATTTTTCAGCTGTTAGCCAGTGGTCTGGAACAAAAAGGGCAAACTGACGAAGATGGAATTGTTGGGTTTTTGCCTGAAGACATTTGGATAGAAGTAAAGCGAGGAAGAAGACTGGTAAAACCATTATGTTTCTTCCTCTTTATGTGTGCACTTTATTAACCAGAAATTTTGCTACTGTATAGAGGCCATACTCAATACAATTAAAACTTTATTATCTGGCATCTGTCAGACCTGGATAGGCAAAAATTCTGGTTACAAAAGCATTCCCCAGAGGATATTTTACAGGAAAAATTTTAACACCTTGTTGATTATTTCTACATCATCTATAGTAATAACAGTTTTAAACAATAATAAATGTTATAAAAACAAAACCTTAACTTGTATAAAAACATTTATAAGTACAGTATTTTAAGTGTGACTCACAGTACAGGTGGCTAACAACTGAAGCTTGCTGATGGAAAAGAATGTAAACAAAGCCATAACAGCACCATTATTAAGTTATAATGAGCATTTGTATTTGGAGATTTTGAAATTTCTGATTACAAGAACTTTCTGGATGTGAAGATGCTGGATAACAAATGTTTTATTTTGAGGATTCAAATCATAGATTACTACATTGATACCATAGAATTCCACTATAACTTATCAAGCTTAGTAACTAAGATGTATTTTAGCCTAAAAATATATGAAATTTCAAGCAGACTAATGACACATCCTACCTTGCTGAAATATTGGTTCAAAAGAAAGAAATGGCACCAAGCCCATTAAAATGTCTGACATTCTGAGCTTCCGATTGGTTATTCATGTCATGTATAGAAGTAAGTGTATATAAGGGAGCATTTCTAAAAATGGAAAGAGGTGAGCGGGGTACCACTGTTTGATTCATTACATGAGCAATATCTTAGCAAATTGAAAAGATAAAAAGCTCTTATTTTATATTCTAGCTTCTCAATATTGGTAATTTGAGTTTCTAATTCATACAAAACTATAAACTCAGTATTTTGACTTCATAAACATCTAATTTGAACCAGTGCTGCATTCAACAAATCACGTGACACACAAAAATCAATGTTTATCTGTGTTTTTTTTAGTATTTGCTTTTAAATTAAGAAATTGAGTAATATGTAGTACTAAAATTTGAATTATAATTTACAGTTTGATACCAAAGTTATTGACATAAATTAATGAAATAGTATTCCAATAAAATTTTTAATGCGAGTCAACAAACGAGATGACATGGCCTTTCATCCGTGACCCGTCTCGATAAGGTCAATACCTTTAGTGCTAAGGGAATCTCATATATTTTCTCGTAATGTTAGGGAAACCAGCCAGTATCTTCTGAAAAGTAGCTAATTATTTAGAGCCACAAGCTCGGTAGCTTTCATTGGGTGACTAAGTTTCATAATTTGGGTGGACCAAAGAAATTATTCGGCTTTGGTCTTACTCCCTCTCACACAAAGTTATCTCGATCTTTCTGCCCTCTAAGCATTGCTAAAATATTTTTGCAATCAGAAGACCAATCTATATACCCCATTAATTTTGCTCCAAATCTTCTGACCAGCTTCAGTCAGTTGTCAGTCTACCCCATCCTCCTCATTATCTGACCATTTTGTTTTGGCATACCATCATGTTTCAGATCCATATTTGGATTCTCAGCAATTAGATCCTCTACTTCCCCTTTGGAATTCGAATCCTGGGGCTTCGGTTCATTTTAATCAGACTCAATTTTCAAGGATTTGCCTTTCCCTCTCCCCTCTTTTATGTTACCTGTCTTCCCTCTGTTTATTTTCTGAAGCTTTTTGTTGCTCTTCTGACCTTTTTTCAGATGAGCTCATGGCCCTCCTTTGGTCCATTATGACATGTTTATTGGACTCTACTCTTTCTCTTAATACCTGACTCCTGTGATGTTGGGGAGGGGTGCATCTTCCACATTCATCCCTGCAAGATCTGCACCAGCCCCATTCCTATACAATACGATATTTGGAGGTCATCCTGATACCTTGGAATCCAGGGTTGATATTCCAAGGACGAGTTATGGAACCTCGTCAGTCTGGTTGAGGATGTGTAATAACTTTACTTATTCAGTTTATATTTTACTGTGGACTGCACCTCTCAGTCCATATTACACTTGTCCACATCCCATATCAGATTTATTTCCTCCTTCAAGAGCAAAGAGCATACCTATTCCAGGTGTAGTGTGGTACCCCACTTGGGTGCTTCAATTTCGTATTGGAGCATACAAGTTCATTTTGGGCAGTTGCTTTTCTCTTGGTTTCAAATGGTGAGTTCCTACACTGGCCCATCCACCTTACAATGTGGTATTCTAGCTTTGTATGAGAGAAGGTAAAACCGTATCAGAAGTTAACACTTTTTTTACACTGAAAATGTATTTCCGATAGGTACTTATCTTCTCTCACACTTCCCACCCTTCCTTCCCTCTGCTGGTGTTATTCTTTCAGAGCTTGCCAATTCTTGAAAGTGAGGATTGATGAGAATAGCAGAGGGAGCTAGCCAATATAGATGGTGCAATGTTATTGGTGGAGAGTAGTCACATGATATGTACATGTTCAAAAATTGATGGGATGTATAATGCTTAGAGGGTAGAAAGAAGATTGAGATAGCTTTGTCTGATGGGAGATAAGTACCTATTGGAAATACATTTTCAGTGTAGGAAAAACGTTAACTTTAATTACTGTTTAAACTGTATTGAAGGATTGTTATTAAGTTGTATTAGTTTAATCTGCCACAGCATATACATTTTTCATTATCATTAGTGTTGTGGATCTGGAAGCAATTGATATGGCTTAATTTTCTTCTTCCTAGCGATGTTTCTTTTGTAAAAAGACCGGGGCAACAGTGGGCTGCTGTAATAAGAACTGTAGGAAAGTGTTTCATGTGCCTTGTGCTTATGGACGAGGTGTCCTTCACCAGTTTTTTGATAATTTTTCGTGAGTATTTTGTGATATAATATTCAAGTTGTGAGGAGTAACCTTAAAGCATGTATCAGTGTTAGAAATAATAGCTTTCATCATTTAACATTCATCACAAGGTCTTTAAGTGATGTAAAGACAGCAATATTTTTTGTTAGTGAAACAATATATACGTAGTTCGTAATTATTTTATACTTTAGGTTATTTCAGAAATCTTGCAGATGCTTAGTTACAGGTGCGAATAATCATATCAATTATCTTTTTATCAATATTTTCAAAATTGATTAAATACATTTAAATGTAGGGTATTTCCAATAGTATTTAAAATATAGTTACATTAAAATGAAGTGGAAGAAACCGTCTACAATTAACACAACATATTTTCACAAGTACATCTGTATAAGCATTTGATTGGAATTAATTTTTCATTACTTCCCTTGGAATGTAAAACAAGACTTTCATAGTTATGTATAGATAAAGTATTAATGATTTTGAATGAACTGGTGGCATCTTGTCTCAAATTTTCACTTCTCGTAGGTTTTATCTAGATATTACCTGTAACATATGAACTTTAAGTGGTTGGTTCATATATGGTGACGTTTCATAAATGGGTATATAGTTTCTAAATTACTGTTTAGTTAAATATGTGCCAATTTTTTACAGGTTATTTACAGATCTTTTTACTTTCAGTCAGGATAGAAAAATTAAATACTGGTGATTAATCCTGAACAATATGTGTACTTTTAAATGAATGTTGCAGGTCTTTTTGTGCAGACCACAAGCCTAAACAAAACATCTCAAAGAAATCCAGTATACTCTATTCGTGCCCGATCTGTCTGTATTCTGTCAATAACCAAGATGTTGACAACGTCATACTTTCTCCATGCTGCAAAAATTCGTTGTTTCACCGACAATGTATCCAGGTTTGTGCTTCATGTTATATTGAGGTTTTTCTGGCTAATGGTTGTTGAAAGGACAAACAATTTGTTTTTACCAACGACTTCATAAATTTTAATTTTTAGTAGAAGTTTTTTATTTTACACTCATAATGTTCTAATAGTCACTCAGTTTTACTATAATAATGAAAAAAGTGTAAGAAAGATTAGGACTTATTCAAAAAAACATTTTTTGTTGTATTTGTTTTCAAAACATAGTGAACAAAATTCAGAATATCTGCTAGTGTGATACACAATAGTTTCCTTGTGATTTGTTTAACATTAAAGTTACCAGAAAAAACATGGTTATAAACCAGAACCAGAAGGAACTAATAGAAAACAAAGTGTTGGATATTTGTATTGTGGCTGCAATTTTATTTTTTCTCATTCCTCTTCAATAATGAATTTACATTTAATTATATATATAAGATTCACCTGTGTAAGCGATTAAGTGAGACACTGGGATGTCAGACTTGTTTTTAATATTACTGTTTGATTACCATGTTCATCAACAATTCTTTAATTGTTTTATAACAGATGCAGGCTTTATGTGCTGGGTACTTCTTTAGGTGCCCCATCTGCAATAATAAGGAAGACTTTCAAAATGAAATGCTTACATATGGTATTTACATACCTGAACAGTAAGTTTTTGTTTCTTCTTAAACGAGATAGTGACTTTATTACAAAGATTCTGTAAAGCTTGTTTTATTGTACTATGTTATAATTAAAACAAGCCATTAATTTTTTCTTACAAATATAAAGAGTATGTCATCAGTACCTACTAAGTGGGCAGGGATTTAATGCTGTCTTTTTTTAATTTATTCCTGCAAGTAAGAGAAATAATTACTTGTTGTTATTTTTTTATGTAAATCATTTGCAATTATATTTCTACTGTCAGTGTCAAATTGAATCCAGGACGTCTTGCCCATAAAGCAAATGCTCTTAACCTTCTTGCTATGGGTAGGTCAAAAGTATGCATGTCACAACCTTTTATGGAGTTATTTTCAAAGTTTAATTAAAGTACTTTATTGTCAATGTAAACAAGTAACCTTAGCATCAAAATTTAGGTTAATAAACCAAATTTTAATATTATGTAAGTTTTAATTTTAAAAGGAAATATTTAAGTAAGTCCTCAATCTCCCCTTGAATGAGAATCATGACATTCATTTTCTAGTTCTTGCCCATTCTCTAATTTATTTACCACCCCTCTCTGAAATATGGAGTTTAATGTAAATTACTAATTATAATATAGATATTACTTAGACAAAGTTTCATTTTTATAACTTTCAATCTTCTTTGTTCACAGACATATCGTCTCTCTTATAAATTGCCAATAATTTTTTCTGACATTTTATACTATATCATTTATAACCAACAGAAAGACAAAGTTTTAATGCATCAAATGACATATAATATTACATTGTTTTCCGTGCAGAGTATTGTTAATTTTGTCTTCAGTTTAAAAGTTTATCTTGCAGTGTTCAGATCGAACAGCTAAAGGAATTATTTTAAAATATTTATACCTTAGTTAAAAAGCCAGTAAAATTATAACAGTTATTGGACATTGTTAACTATGTGTGTGTGTGTTATTATTCTGTGTTCTTAGGTGCATTATTTAAATAAATAAATATTATTTAATGTACTACTATCATTACAAAAAAAAGTAGGCTTAAATTTCATAGGCAACCGACAGCAAAAAAATAAGATGTCAAACATAAATGCTATACATATTCTTGTTTTTCACGTATATTTTTTATTTATTGTTATAAATATAACTAAAATGTAAAGAGTAGAAGCTTATTAGGTTAGATTAGATAAGATAATGGAAAATAATGATAATTCTCGAGGAGGTATGCTCCCAAGTAGCTTGTGTGTTACATATCATTCAAAATGGTAACTGGAGCTGTGCATTTGCTGAGTGATTTACAACTTGTATAGCAGTATTACTAGTTAGACATGGTTCATATGGCAATAAAACAGTAAAATTAAGAATAAACGGGTGTAAACTGTTACGAGCCTTAAGGTATTTAGGATAAAGAAATATACAGTCATTCTAGTAAGAAAACAAAGGTAAATTTAGATTTATTTCCTACTTTTTGTGGTAGTTATAAGGTTGGTCAAATTGACCAACTCTGTAAAGTTAGGGTAGAGAAAATAACAACTAAAACATAAAGTTTAACTATGAAAAACATGTGATATTTATTTAGGAGGTTTTAGAAGTTACTACACAAATGAAATTTGAAAATTTTCAGATCAAGAAATATATTTTAAATTTTAACATGAAAATCACTTTGCACTTGATGCAGACAACACTGACTTTATATTATAGTCACTGACAAATCATTAGTTAAAATACATAATTAAAAAATCTGATTTACTGTGTACAAATGACTTGTAATGTTACTGAAAGCTTGTGAAATTTTGTAAAGATACGTGCACCATATTAAAAGTTTCTGTATGGATACTCTCATGATTACTTGATGGTTACAAAGTCAGTGTAACCCATTAACCCTGTATGGAAATAATTAAAGATATCACTAGTAAGGCATTTCTTCACAAACGAAAGTACCACATTCTTCCCCTATCATAAACGAAGCCCACCCTCGGACCTAAACTCTAGGTTGGGAGGTAACCACTACTTGGATACAACTGTTTCTGGCAATAATCCCATTGTTATACTGAATATAGGACATCTCACATATGAAAAAAATTCTCTAGAGCACCAGCTGTACTAAAGGATTAACCCGTTAATAAATCAGACCACCAAATCAATACTTGACAAAGCATCAACAAAATGTTTAAATAGTTTGACATAACACTATTAAGAAGTACTTAAAACTCCTCCTAATATTAATGTAGAAACAGTTTTACCAATTTTAAATACAGCATTACTACTACCATGTTTGAGAAATGTTTCCTATAACAAATTCTTATCACTTATTTCCACAAATAGATATTATAATCTTTGTATAAAGTTGAAGAGTATTTTGAATGTTAACCCTAATGTTTGGTAATGTAATTAAATATAATTACTGTTGAAAGAATTGCTGTACATATGAATGAGCTATATCTGTGTTGCTTTTTATTTTATTCTGAATTTAGCCAACTACTTAAATATAATTACTGTTGAAAGAATTGTTGTACATATGAATGAGCTATATCTGTGTTGCTTTTTATTTTATTCTGAATTTAGCCAACTACTTAAATATAATTACTGTTGAAAGAATTGTTGT